ATTCTCTTGGGTTTTAGGGGAGTCGACATGACATGATAACTTCACTTTCGTGGGTGAGCTCAAAGCCTCACTGGGTGGGCAGAGCGATGGCCCAAAAGCCGAAATACGTTATTAAAACAATTAATACACCTCCTGAATAAATGGATAATTGGCAAAAATAATTTTTGTTCTCGGTGTGAGAATAATAGTCGGTAGAAGCTCGAGTTCCACTTCATTCGAAATCATTTTGATGTTGCCATGTGGACCTGGTTCTTCCCATGAATTTCCTGTCGAGAAAAAAATTGCCTTCACAAGGTGTTTCAACGTTTTGTGTAAGGCGCCAACATTGAAAAACTCAGAAACCAACATTTTCATAATTCTACAACTATTAAAAAATGCAACCCGCCATAAATCTATTAATTATCAAATAAGTCAGGATTCTTAACCCTTTGCTCCATCTCAAGTCACATCACTTTTCGCCGTTTTGTCGTGGTGTGTATGCGCCAGCATGCTTCTCTTGTGGCGTAAGTAGTATTAAGTGATGTCCGCCATTAGCCCCAACTTTCGCCACCAGGTGGCGCTGGCGTCACTGTTCATTTGGTGGCGGTGGGTGCTGAGTGGACGAAGGAGGTGGCGTTGGTATCGGCTGGGCGGTAAGAGGGGCGGTGGAAGTGGGGAGGGGGAGGCGGGTGGTAAGGGGAAGTGGGTGGTAAGTGGGTATGTGGGTGGTAAGCGGGAGATATGGTGGTGCGTGGGGGGGGGGGGGGGGGGGGGGGGGGTTGGANAGGGTAGGGGAGTGGTGGTTGGAAAAAGGAGGGGGGGTAAAGGCGGGAATCGTAAAATATTCGAGAACAAGCATCAGTTACTATGAACATGGAGGGGGTAGCGTCTGGCAGGCCTTAGGTAAACACAACTGCAATTAGGAGCACTTGTCCGGGAGGGTCTGGTGTTAGGAATGCGTTAACAATAGACAATGAAACACTTGTACAAATTTTACATTTTCTACCGAGTTTTATTCAACACTTCTGTTACATTTCCAATAAATTCGCCGTTATAATAATTCTGATCAACATAAATAATCTAGAAAACCATGAGTGCAGCAGCGCTCGAGACCAGAGTGGATAAGAGGATAAAAAGGACATGGCGTATTTGTCGGTTTCCATAGTGATGTGATATGTAGGTATTCCCTCCGGCGAGTTAAAATATTCAAATCCGTAGATAGGTATTGTAGTCAGGCCCATCGCGTTGATCGGAATGGAACACTCTGAGCAAGAGCGTATCCACGAATGTCGGGACTTACGTATAAGTAACGTCTATATCCCCACTCTACTCCCGTTATTGTTGGGGTATAGGATATTTAATCACTACAATTGTAATCTGGACAGCTGGATGGTACGTCAAATTGTCATTTTGTTTTCTTCCGAATTTTCAATCAAATCATTATTTAGATCGATATACACAGTGAGAAAACGTCCAAGGAAGTATTTTCAACGATTAAAGAGTGCCGTCCCCATGCGTTTGCCAGTCTAGTCTTATGTCTAGCTCATTTAGGCCATTATGACCTTATCCATACAATGGTCAACGGGACAATGCCCCCTGCCGCAGAACAGAAACGAGGGTTTTGGAAGAAAATAACTCTTGTTTTAAGGAATAGGTTAGGAAGAAGACATGATTTTGAGGAGATATCAAATAAAATGAACAAATAAATTTTACAGTATATTAAATTATTTATTCACACATTTTTGAACAATTGATCCTTTACCGGATAGGTTTACAAATTTTCTCTTAAATCTAGTGACAGATTTATTTTTCATTATTTTCTTGAACATTCTTACAATTAACTTGTCGTTACGTTCCCTGTTATCAAAGAATTTTCACAAGAAAGATGACAAAGATAACCCATTACTAAGCAAGTGAAGGACAACAACAGAGTAGTGACCACACACGCTACTTGTGACGCTTTGGAGTTGTTTATGGTCGTATTTATAGTTTCGACAGTTTCTTCTAAGACAGCATGCGATCTCTGGGTGGACCTCCATAGCTGTCAAAGTACTTTGCCTTTCCCTCATGCTCAACGTACATCGCGACCCAATGTGTTCCTGGTTGATTGCAGTCATCGGTATTAGCGATGATTGCACAAGGCCGGGTCCATTGCAAGGGAATGTTATCCGCAGAAAATACTTCTCCGATGGTGACATTGGTCGCAGGTAAAGCTGCAAGTAACTGTCGGGTATTCATACAATGACTGTAGTGGTACCTTTCCTACACCCGGATCCGGCAACGTCACGGCCCTCTTTCGGAAGTCTCGTCGGCCTGGTGGTGGTATTAGATTTTCTTCCGAGATTGTATCGTCACTATTGCTGTTGCTATGAGAAATGTCATAATTTAGGTCATCACTGCTTAGCTCATGGCCCGTTACTTGAGAGATGCGATATGCATCGACACTCCAAATTTTACTAATATCAGAATCCTTCAGCTTAACTTTACCTGTATAAATATTTTATCTAATCCAAATCTTTAATTTAACTGCGTTATGGCAAGCGCAGACATAGCCCCCATGTAAATTAGATTCAGCATGATCGATACAAAAAGGCTTATTTTCTGGTAAACGCTTAAAACTAGGCGCATAATCTTCTAAATTAACTACAATTCTCGATAAAATTCTTTGTAAGAACATTAATTTTTCACGGCCATGCACATAGATTCTAGCCATATTCTTTGTCGCTTCTCTGAGAATTTGACTCAACGACTTGTATGGTGTGTAGCCATAGTCCCATTCTAAACCGTGGAAATTTGAGGTTAAGCATAAATTTTGACGACGAGCGTCAAAATCCAAATCCCTTGCTCCGCATGGCGGTGCAATCAGCCAGTGGCCACTATGATTTCCCTCAACTGAGAAGATGGCAATTTTTTAGGAACAAAAGTCTCCTTCGGCCCTACCAACCCTTGCATGTTAATACCGACTTCTTTCAGTTTATTCGGAGCCATGGTACTTCCACACTCGGACACTATTTCTCGTAGACTGATCACCTGCCATTACGTTCTTCAGTTTTTATTGAAAAATGCAGGTGGCAGCACCATCAGTATTGATAACAACCAAGAAAAGCTTTACACACGGTATAATAATGATATTGAGTTGAACATCTTTCGATGCAGTATACACAGGGTATAACACCAAAAACCGAAAAGAAAAAAAGCTACAGCAATCATATGTGTTTTACTATTGGCAGTATTTATAATTTTAGTTAATATATCAGCGCCGCAATACAGACAAGCTGTTCGTGTGGGGTTAGGTCCGAGAGACACTTCTCGATCGGCCATAGTCGTCCGCTCTCGGTGACCCCTACGTTGGAATTACTCGTCTTAACTATTGTAATCAACAATAACTTGTATCGTGGAATCAATCTCCAATATATTGTCAGACTCGGCATACAGAATACAATTCAAATTCGTTGTCGTCGCGTCATTAAAATGCACTTCAATTCTGAGACTCTTTGTTTTAACAAGATTCCAATGTGTCGCACAATTTGCTGATGAATCGGGTGTCAAGTCAAATGCAAAGAGACCCTTTGAATAATCCGATCGCGAAATATCCATTCCATGATCGCTAAAATGAATGCCAGTTCCAGTAAATAGAGAGGCATAGCTTTCGTCTCCATGTGAGAATTGTCATCAAAACTAGGTTGTAAAGGTCGCCCTGGGACTTGTCCCCCATCCATGTAGAAACTTAGGAAATTAATTCCCCAATTTTGAAAATCAAAGGGATTCCGCCCCTGATCACCATTAAATGATGCATTATCCACAAAACCAAGAATTACACGTTTTGGTAATTGCCCGAGAATAGTATTGTCGATGGTCTCTCCGGTAGTCCTACGATGAAGAACAAAAGATTTCAATTCCACATGGGTCAATGGATATTTCGCTGTCGTTTTAGCTAGAGTCTTGGCATGGGCAAGAAGAAGGCCAGGGCTTAGTTTTGCTCTTCTTACTATTAAAGAGGCTTTGGTGATTGTTATTTTATAATTTTTAGTCGTTTTATCAATCAAACAAAATGAATCTTTCGACCTCACCACGCGCAGCCGCATATTAACACCATTCAATAAAAAATTGTCTCGATAGAAGACATCGCAATGGATATCTCCAAGTTAATAATATCTCCACGTGTCATGACTCCTGAAATCTTTCTATGATGTTTTTGAACAATGGTCTGTGTTTTTTTTTTCAAATCTGCATGTTTGTAAACATTCAGATTTGGGATTTTTACCCAGTTGTTTGGTGAGGAACTACGTTTAGGATGGATTGGGAGGTTAGAGGATCGTCCGTGTGAAATAACTGTTCAGAGTCTTGACCTAATATGAACGTTAATTTATTCTCGCGTTCAAACCACGCTTTGTCAAATTTACAAAACACCTTGTCACTAGTTGATCGTACTGAATTAGTTCCAATTGTTTATAGTTTTTACACTGTTGAGTCACTGGTTAAATGGCTAATAAATAACGTGAGTTTCTTTTTAATTGAATTTTTATCGCCGAGCTAATAGACGTTAATGTAATGAATATGTCTACACTCTGCGCGTTACTCAAAAACGGAGTTGAAATTTAATCAAAACTGACTGCTTGGCCGATCGTTTTATACTGACTCGCGTTGATTTACGGTGACTCTACTAGACCTGAGCGTTGACCCGGAAAAGACCGATGATTTTCGTAATTGGCCGAGCTTGTCGACCTTGGTCTTGGAGAGGTTGGGTTACGTTTCAAACACCAGTAAACCCCCGTTCTCCTCTTTTCTCTGACCCCATACTCCCCCCCCGCCGAACCGCCGTTAGGCATTACTTCGCAGGGGTGATCTCAGCCACAGCTCTCCCATCAGGTGGTTGAAGACAATGCTTCCTTCCTCTCGGATGTTCTCATTAGTTCCTTTTGGCCTGCTCCTCGCATCGAAGTTCTATCCGAACTTCGGCTGCGAACGTGCTCGTGGCATCCCATGCTACTTTCGATGAAATCATGACTTTTACCAGGTCTTCAGGTGGGACTCTGCTCCACTGTAGTCTCCCAAGTACTGCGAAGCCTTGCGAAGCGTTTGCAGCTGAAGAACACGTGCTCAGCATCTTCTCCTTCTCTACTGCAGGTCGGGCACTCCGGGGTCTCTTCATGTTCGAATTTATGAAGATACTTCCAGAAGGATCCGTGTCCTGAGAGCATCTGCGTCAGATAGTAGTTGACCTCTCCGTGGGAACGGTTCAGCCAAACATCTAACTGTGGTATTAGACGTTGAGTCCACCTTTCTTTCGTTGAGGTATCCCACAATACCTGCCATCGGCTGATGCTGTTCCGTCTCTCCTCTTCCGTGAGATCTTTTGGAGTCAATGTAGTGTGCCTTCTCCGCCGGTAAAGGCACCTCCGCTCTTCAGCCAATACTTCGATGGGCAGCATTCCGGCGATCACACAAACTGCATCTCCCGACCCTGTGCGGTACGCGCTAGCAACTCTCAGGGCGCCCTACCGATAGACGGGAGCGACCTTACGCCGAGATTCCTGAAACTGTAGTGCATCGACCCAGATGAGAATCCCATAAGTCAACACTGACGTCACCACTGTGGACAGCAGCGCTCGTCTTTTTTGTTTGGGACCTCCAATGTTTGGCATGAGGTGGGATAAGTGTGTTCGAACCCCTGAGGCCTTGGTTACCACGTGTTCCACCTGCTGCTTGAAGTTCAAGCGGGTATCAATCATCACTCCCAGGTACCGAATGAACGGTTGGGAAGTGAGTCCATAATCCCCAACTTTCAGCGTGATTGTGTCAACTTTGTTCCGGCTAGTAATCAAGACGGCCTCCGTTTTGTGTTCTGCCAGTGTCAGCCACACTGTGTCCATCCACCGATGTATCTCCTCAAAGATTATGTCGAATTTGAGCTGGATCTCCTCCAGGTGTTTCGCCACAATCACCACAGCAACATCGTTCACAAATGCCACAAGCCTCGCGTCATTTGGCAGCGTCAGCTTCACGAGTCCATCATACATGATATTCCACAGCAGTGGACCCAACACAGAGCTCTGAGGAACTTCTCCGGTGACTCTGTAATCTTTGGGACTGCTAAAATTGAACATGCCCTGGCGGACCAAGTTGGTGGCATTTGCGGATGACGTGGCGGTGGTCATTGTTAGGAAGCACCTGGAGGACATGAAGTGTGTTTTCAGCACAACGTTCGAGACGATCCACTGCTGGATGGATTCTGTTGGACTGAACTTAGCGGAACAGAAGACAGAAGCCGTATTGATCACCAGCAGGAACAAGATCGAGACGATCACGCTGCGAGTCGGGTCGTGTGAAATCACCTCCCAGCCATTCATTCGCTACCTGGGGGTGATGATCGATACACGACTGAACTTCAAGCAGCAAGCGGAGGACGTGAGGACCAAGGTATCGGGCGTCAGATCCACCTTATCACGTCTCATGCCTAACATCGGGGGACCTAATCAAAGAAGACGAGCACTGTTGTCCTCAGTGATTACTTCAGTGCTCATATATGCTATTCCCATTTGGGGGGATGTTCTACGACTGCAAGAAGCACGACGCAAAATCGCACCAGTCTATGAACTTAGTGCCCTTAGAGTCGCAAGTGCTTTTCGGACAGTTTCTGAAGACGCGATGTGTGTCATCGCAGGATTGTTGCCCATTCAGGTTTTGGCTGAGGAGCGAGGATCGCTGTATAAGCGGAAACGAACGCTCGCATCGAAAATGATGAGCACCGAAGAACTGGCGTCTGAGGAGAGGCGAAACAGCTTGAACCGATGGCAAGAGAAGTGGACGAATTCGACCGAGGGAAGATGGACCTATCGTCTAATTCCACAGGTAGCCGCGTGGGTAAATCGAACTCATGGCCAAGTCAACTACTATCTGTGCCAAATGCTTTTAGGGCACGGGTGCTTCAGAAGTAATACGTAACGGTGGTGCCGTGAGGGGAAGAAAGGTTAGTGGAAATTTGTCTGATTGGAGTTTAGTGGGTATTGGCAGTCACTGTCGGAGTCCCACACTCACTTGACGGAGTGAAACACCTATTCCCTCCCTCAGGCGGTCGTGCATAAATGCATTCTCCCAACAGACGAAAAAAAAAAAAAAAAAAAAACACACACACATACAAACACAGACGGACATGTGTTCGAAATCATTGTAGAATGATTCGAGGAGTCATGAAACGTGGAAATTTCATTGAATTTCAATATTTGATTTCCGGGGTCATTACAATAACTTCCTCCGTTCGGGTCGGGAAGTTATCAAGCCAGAGAAAATCGATGATCGCCTCTCAACGCTATTATCAGCGGCTGTGGGAGAAATTTGTTTTATTTGTTGATGTTCCTTCCCCCCACAATGAAGATTTTTATTAGAGGAATTGAATATTGAACCATTTTTCCTTTTCCGTAAATAGATGAATTGCATGAATTGGCCGGGAATGAGAGGGGGAAAATTCGTGTTATCATACGTTTTTCAGGAACAAATGTCAGGGGAGTTTTGTCGGGGAAGAAAAGTCGTGGATTCAGCAGTACTTCTTGGTGCATCTATACCACCTCTTCCCTGAAATCGGTTCTCTAGCTGTATCAACAACTAGATTCATGGCTTCAAGGGTGGATCAACCTCTCCGAAATCCGCACTGGTTGTTCGGCAGCAATGGTTCAACTGATGCTTCTATTCTGCTGTGGACGATGCGCTCGAGGATCTTATCAGCTGTGTCGAGCATGCAGAGGGGACGGTAGGATGCAGGTTGGTCTGGTGGCTTTTTCCCTTTCGGGAGCAACACCAGCCTCTGCTGCTTCCACTTTGCAGGGAAGATGCCCTCGCTGAGACACTCGTTGAATACCTCCAACAAAAAGCCCGGCAAAGCATGAATAGCGGCTTTCAGCGCAATATTAGGAATCCCATCAAGAGGGGGCCTTGGTATTCCCGACTCTATCACATGCCTCCATCAGCTCATCCTCCGTGATTGGTGGAACTATCAATGCTTCCCCTTGTTTGTTGGCACGCTGGAATTCCGGTTGTTGTGGGAAGAGCGCCGTGACAATCTTCTCCAGGAGATCAAGACACGTCGGCAATGGCATGGGCTAGCTTTTAAGCTGCGTCATCACCAACTTATACGGCCTGCCCCACGGATCACCTTCCATCTCAGCAGTCAGCTCATTCCAGGGGTGTGCTTTGCTGCACTTGATGGCCTTGTTGAGCTTGTGGCGTGACTTCTTGCACCTCATCTCCAGTTCCTCGAAGTTTGGCTTCTTCCGGGCGCGCTGAGATGATCTTCTTGCCGCATTACATTCCTTACGCAAATTTGCGATGGTATCATTACACCAATATACCGGTAGTTGCCGGGCAGTAGCTTGCTTCCTGGGCATGGTGGCGTCGCAAGTTTCTGTGAGTCTCCTCATGATGTTCGCTGCCTTCTCAGTGGCATTACTGCCACGTATTGGGCCATCGTCCAGGGCTACTAAATAAAGGCTGGGATCGAACGAGCTCACTTTCCAGTTAACTGTGTTGGCCTTTTCCGGTGTGGGTCCGCGTCTCTGGTCGGTGTAAACCTCCTAGAATATCGCACGGTGGTCGCTCGCTTTGTATATTTCAGCCACCCATGAGCAGTTTCCTCTTGCCAGGTTGCTGCTCACGAAGGTAAGATCTAAGATGGCGGCTTCTCCTCTCATGAAAGTCGGTCCCTCGCCGCTGTTAAGCAAGCCCAAGTTAAGCGACGACATGGCCTCCAGTATGGCTTGTCCTTTGGCTTTGGTCTCTTTACTTTCCCAGTCGACTGCCCAGGCATTGAAGTCCCCGGCGATTGCCACGGAAAAGTCCTGCTTCGCATTCTCGGTCAGTCTATCTAGGAAATCGCTGAAGTCGTCGATCGGAAGACTCGGCGGAGCATAGTAGCTGTAGACATAGATGCCATCAACCTTAACCCTCACAAAGCCATACTCGTTTTTACTGGTGGTGCTCTCGAAAGGTCGATTCCCACAAGCCCAGATGACAGCCTTCTTGGTGGTGTCAGTACCCCAGGGTTGGGTGCCAAGATGTCTATATGGCTCTGAGATGCAGACAAGATCGATCTTCCGCTCCCGCACCGTCTGTATTAGCAGGTCGTGTGCGGCCTCACAATGGTTGAGGTTGAGCTGTAGCACCTTCATCGTCGTCTGCTGGTTAACTTCTGTAGCGCCTCGTGACAAACTGGGCACCTGGTGCTGCCAGCAATATGATCCCAGTTCGCCATGTTCCCTTTCACAGTGCACAAGGCACAATTGAGTTCCTTTTCGCAGGCAGCAACGTTGTGGCCCGGCTCAGCGCATTTGATGCAGATCTTGGACCGATCGACCCCACTCTTGCATTTGATGGCGAGATGGCCATAGTGCCAGCACTTGAAGCACTTTAATGGCCTCTCCATTCTTTTCACTCGGCAACTGACCCAGCCTATTTTAATCTTCCGGTGCTTCCTCAGGATCTTCTTCGCTGTCGTAGCTGTGAGTCTCACTGAGGCAGTCTGGTTACCTCCATAAGCTTTACTAAGGGACTTTACCTCATCCGCTTGGATCTCGTGTTCCTCCCCAGTGGCTACTCTTAGGGCTTCGATGACATCCTCCTTCGATGTGGTTTCGTCAAGATCTTTGATCTCGAGATCTTCTTGTGGCCCCTTACTGAGCACCTCAGCCTCATCTCCAAGGAGATTGACGATGGCCGTACGCAGCTTAGATGCTCCGTCAGTCGTCTTTCTGCTAAGGATGATCAGCATATCCGCGGTTGCTGTACGGCGGATCTTATCGATACAACCGCTAGCGTCCTCGGAGGGAAAATCCTTCTTCAGCCGGCATAGTATATCCGAGTACTTCTCCTTGTCCTTGAAGCGTATCAACCCATCAGGTCGCTTCGCTAATGTCCGAGTAGCCCTCTCCTGTTTCTTTTTTTCCTTCTTCTTTTTGGGAGGCGGTCGTGGATGGAGCTGTTCGGCCTACCTCTTTTTCTCCTTTTTGTTCTTCTTTACCTGCGTCCATTCAGGATTAGTAGGTGGATCGGAAGATGCCATAGTCTGCAGGGCTGCCTTGCTGGTCAATATCCGTCTGTGCGTTGAGCGAGGAACTTGCCAACTGTTTGTACTACATCGGCAGCCTCGTACAGCGCGAAACTTGATTTATTTCGAATCTCGTGATTCCTTTGGCCTGGTGTCTTACTCTCGTCTTCTACTTTCTGCATAATGAATGATAAGGACAAGGGCAAAAACGTGTGCGGTACTTGCATCCTATTGCTTCCGCTTCTTCAATGTTTGAGCTTCTGCCGTAGGTGAGCCTTTCGAGCGCTTTCTCCGCACTGCTTTGCGGACATCTCGGGCCGACTGCATGGTATTCGGATCCTTCATATCCGAGTCCTTTGCCGTCATTTCATTTTGGTAAAGGAGGGTCGTGCTTTGGTGCGCACCTCCTCCAAGCTCTTGAGTCGTCTGTACGCGCTGCCGATCGATGCCACCTTGGATTTGATTTCCTTGTGGACATTCATCTTAGGCTGGACAAACTCATGTAAATCTGTGATGAGTTTCTCGAGTCATGCCCATGCGTAACCACAGTCTGTCACGTGTTGAATCTGTGAGTCATCTCTCCTTGCAGCATCTGAGGCCAAGGAGTCCGCCTTTGAGACATGCGATAGGTGGCTCTTACCACAATTCATGGAGCCAGCACCGGCCACCGGGGCTTTCACCCGATCGGAACCGATGGCGGGATTTCCCTTCTGAGGGCTGCCCGTAAGGGATAATATCGTGTTCTCATCACTGTTCATTATTTTTCGCGGGCTGTCATAGTGGACCCTCCCTGCACACCTCTTTTTTAATAGAGTTGGGCTTCTTTAAGAAGGTGTTGGTTCGCGCCGACGTATTTTATTTGGTCGATCCCCTCTGTTCCGTAGTTCGGAACAGCGAGCGTCCCCCGATCCACCACCAGGGGACGCGCCACGTTGCAGTACCTTCCAGCCTGCGAATTTTCTCAGAAAGTAAAGGCGTTTCTTGCTAAGAGGATCCGTGGTGTGTGTGTGTGTTTTTAATTTTTTTTATAGAGGTTTAAGAAAATCTTCAAAATATTTTGGTAAAGTGATATAAAAAACTAGATCTGGGATTTTTACCCAGTAAAAACCCTGTTTTCCTCCTTTTACCTCTAATTATGAGACCTCTAATGAGAGACCAGCTGGCGCTCTGTAAGTAGCGTACACGCTTTCTTTTTGCTCCTCGCTTGAAACGCTGTTTCTGCATTTCTCTCGCCCGTGGGCGGCTTTTTGGCAGTTCTGTTGCATGTGCCTTGTTGCAACCAACTCCTGGACATACAGGTCTTTGTATTGGTTGTTCTTCCTGACTATAAATACGCTCTTTGGATTGGGTGCTGTGGTACATAACCTCTACGTGTGCTCTAGCTGTCTCTGTCACTCGCAGGCTGCCTCTCTCTCTTTCTTCACCTGTCATTTTCGTCGTGGAGCCAGTGCGCCGTCTTGCAGAGTGAGTAGTAGTTTCAGTCGTCTAGTGAGACCTGCTTTACCGTCTGTGCGTTGAGCGAGGAACTTACCGACTGTTTGTACTACATCGGCAGCCTCTTACAGCGCGAAACTTGATTTATTTCGAATCTCGTCATTCCTTTGGCCTGGTGTCTTACTCTCGTCTTCTACTTTCTGCATAATGAATGATAAGGACAAGGGCAAAAACGTGTGCAGTACTTGGTGTAAAGATAGTGGAGCAAAACTGGTGCAATGTGGGGCGTGTCGCAAATTTTATCATGCCTCATGCACCAAGTTCAACGCCACACACAACGGTACTGAGACGGTCAAGATATGCAGATCATATCTGGTGACTATGAATGTTGCACCTGGTTTGACACCGTTCGCAGCGAGGACACCCCATGGCTCGGACGAGCGACTTAAAAACCTCGAGGGAAATATGGACACCAAGTTAGAGAATTTTCAAGCTGAAGTGTATGCTAAGCTTAAAATCTTGGATAAGCTCCCAGCTCTGTTTGACAGGATGGATTCAGTGGAGAACGAGGTAGCGCAATTGAGTGAGCGTTTCGGCTCTATTTCGTGTGAGCAGCGAGTCCTGAAGGCTGGCTTAGCCGATATCAGCACTGGGGCTGACTCTGGTACTGTTTCACAGGTAGTGGCTGATAGGATGGGGTCAGTAGAGGCCTCTATGAGAGAACTTTCGGATTCTGTGGCTAAGATCAATGCTGAGTGAGCCAAACTGTCACCTGATGTCTTGGTGTCAGGATTCCATGTCGTGGTGGGAGTAATAGGGCTCCCTCTTTACTGGTGACTCTATCGTTTGGATCATTAGCCCATGGCCTTGTGGTTGCCACGGCACGCTACGGCAAGCTTGATAGCTCTGTGTTGAATCCTGATCTGTTGCAGGCTTCTGGTGCTTCATGTCCGCTCCAGCCGTCGCTCATCAATATCAACGAGTTTCTACCCACAGACCTGTATAACTTACGTCGTGCTGTGAAGGATGCTGCGAAGAAGGAAGGCTTCGCCACTTTTGTACGAGACGGCGCGGTTTTCATCAAGGGAAAGAACGGTGAAACGTTTCGCATTTCCTCCATGGCTGAGCTAAAAAACTTTTTAATGGGCTTTCAATAAACTCTTCATCTATATCGCCTGATAACACTTATTCTTCTTCTTCTTTTCTCTCCTCTACTGTCACTATTCCCCCGTCATCTATACCCATGTTCCTCTCACGATCTCAATCCTCCGTAACGAATCGGGCAACCACGCTGTTGGGACTGGAAGGCCTGGGTGTCTGCCATGCAAATGTGAACTCCTTCAGGGCTCATATTGAAAGGATAAGACTTTTTCTTGATTCCTGTCCTCCATTCCATGTGATCGCTGGGACTGAAACTAAGATTTGCTCCCTGATTGATGACGACGTTGTTTCACTTGAGGGTTGCCGGCTCCTCCACTGTGATCGTAATACGCGCGGTGGTGGTGTTACGCTCTTCATTAGTAATTGTTTTAAGATCAAAGTCCTTGCATCTTCCGATCCCACGCAAAGAGAATCAGAATTTAGAGAGAAAAAATTTCCGCTTCACCCAGCCGGGAATCGAACCCGTGTCTCCCAGATACGCGCCGGGCACTCTTACCGACTAAGCTACCGGAAACCACATAAATTCACTCTCAAATTCACCTCATACGCCGCCTAACCTCCTTTAGGCATTAAATAATCCTAAGAGAATTAGAATTTAGAGAGAAAAAATTTCCGCTCCACCCAGCCGGGAATCGAACCCGGGTCTCCCAGATACGGGCCGGGCACTCTTACCGACTAAGCTACCAGGAACCACAGAAATTCACTCTCCAATTTACTTCATACACCGCCTAACCTCCTTTAGGCATTAAAGAAATGCAAGTCCTTGCATCTTGCATCGTGCGATCTCACGTGTGGACAAAGAGACCGGGGTTACCTGAGTATCTTTTCTGCGAGATTGCTAGTCGGGGAATATTCCCAATCTTTGTTGCTGTGGTTTATAGGCCGTCTCACGCGCCCTTTCACGAGGGCAGTGACTTTTTACCTTCGCTGCCACTGCACCTGCAAGACTACAGCTCCAAAGTTATTTTGGGTGATTTTAAAGCTGATCAGTAATCGCTGAACAATGCTGATGCGGCCATAATTCGCTCTATCTGTGCTGACAACTTTCTTCGCCTTGTATCGCATGGAGCTACTCATCACACGGCCGATTCTGACATCTGGTTGGATCTGTGCTTAACTGACAATGAGGACACTTTGTTGTCCTACTGGAAGACTGATGTTCCCTTTGTTGACGGTTACGACCTGACTGCTGCGACATTGCAGGCTGCTCTGCCGCGCCAGCTTCCCGCCGGTGACATCAGTTTTAAAGATTTTGCGGCGCTGAACGAACCAGAGTTGAATCTGCGGCTGGCTGCTTGTGATCGGTCACCCCTTGATGGTTCGTCATCCTTGGAATGCATGGCTCTGTGTTTGTGTGCAAACCTCAGCACCGCCATTGACACGCCTATCCCTGTGAAGACTGTGAGGATATCCTCGAAGCACAAGCCGTGGATTACGGATCGCCTTCGTTCCCTTGTGCGTATCAGGGATCGCAAGTACAGGGTTTACAGGCATGTGCGCTCTAGGAGTGCCTTAGAGGAATATCGCTAAGCCCGCGATCGGGCCCACAGGGAGGTTGAGGAGGCACGTCAGTTGTATTTCCAGCGTAGAATTGAGTCCCTGGCAGAGCCTGCATTAATCTGGAAAGAACTGAGTCACCTTGATGTGGTCAATACGGACAATACTCCAGCCGACTTCGATCCGGAGGCTCTGAATGATCACTTTGTCAGTGCTTCATTCGACCCTTCGTTGGACGAGTTCCTCAGTTCTTTGCCGGACGTGGGGGTTTTTGCTGGTGGTGCTGCGGGCTTCGCTTTCCGTTCAGTGACTGCTAATGAGGTACTTGGGACCGTCAGGCACTTCTCCACTGAGGCCAAAGGTACGGATGGCGTTCCTAAATGCGTAGTTGTGGCTGCGTGGCCGTCCCTGATGCCGTTTCTGTTGAGACTGTTCAACTTGTCCTTTTCAACCTCTTCTTTCCCGTCTGAGTGGAAGAAATTGATTGTGGTAGCGTTGGGCAAGATTAAGAACCCCTCGACCGTTAACGATTTCAGGTCCATTGCACTTCTCTGCTTTTTATTGAAAGTCTTGGAGAGACTTGCTTCGCTGCAGATCGTTGGATTTCTTGCTGAGCGCTCCATATTAGATCCCTTCCAGACAGGTTTTCGCCCTCATAACGGAGCCCAAACAGCGCTGTTAAAACTAATGGACGATATCCGTTCTGGAATTAACAATCGTCAGCTGACCTTGCTACTTCTCTTCGACTTTAGCAAGGCCTTTGACTCAGTGTGTCATGTGCTGTTGCTTCGGAAACTCCTCGACTACGCTTTCTCGTTTCCGGCCATAAGGTGGTTTGCGTCCTACCTCGGTGGTCGCTCTCAGGGGACACTGGGTGGGAGCTCTGGGCCGTCATTCTTCAAACGCCTTAATCGCGGAGTGCC